TTCATTTACTATTATTAAGTTATTTAGTCCATACAGACGCTAATCACGACTAATCTTTACTGCATCACTTTTGTTCCATTAAATGCTTTTAGAAGCTTATAGCGATGCTGCTCCATCATATCGCGATTGTCAATTTTGTCCAGGTCAAAGTCTCAAAGGACTTTCAAAACAACTTAGCCGCTGATCAATCAATTATTTTTTTGATATTTACAGGCGATGGGAAAGATCTGAAAGAAGGTAAAATGGCTACCATGCGAATTGATTGAAAATTATTGCCAAGAATATACTGCTGCAGCTCGAACGAGAAGTTATGCAACAACCCAGCGCACTCATCAAACATGACGCTTTCTGGAGTTAAAGAAGTGCAAAAATGGGCCAATCATTGGATCGCTGCCAACACGGCATCGACATGTTGCAAAAAAGGTGGGAAAAAATTGTACAAAATTATGGGAAATATTTTTTTTAATACACGTTATCCCAATTTTACACACAAAAAAAATAAGTTGTCGGAACCCATGCAAGCGACTATTAAAAACTGCAAGAATATCTTGAATGAACATTGATGTTAGTTGGTAAGTAAGTAAGAAAATGTAAAAGGAAAGGCTCACGTATATATGTAAATGAATGATATTAAGAAAAGTCAACTAAAGCATTAGCCGTAAATTCTTACTAGATACTAGAAAGGATTCAAGAGACTTTGGAAAAGGTTCCTTTATTTTTATTTTTATTTTTTTTCAGCATAAAATTAATTTTTTCTATTAGATTCAAATTCAATTTATTTATTTGAAAATATCATGCACATCAAGGCATAAGTCCGAAATCTAATATAATTGCTCTTATACATGCGCATATATGTGCATATAAATATAGCGAACGGAGAGATGAATTGGGAGAGTAGAGTAAAAGTAATAGCGTCAGCTGTGAATTTAATAATTTCATGTTAACATGTAAATTTTCATTTCATACACTGGATGAAACAAAAATTTATGAATTATATGCATATTCACACACGCAGACACCTGCCATGTCAAGTTTACATCGCCTCATATGCATATGCGTATGCATATATATATATATATATATATATATATAACTGCATTGTGGTATATAACTATTCATTTTCTTCAATTTCACTTACATGCATTCCTACTGCACTTCGTGTGATCTGATAAGTGTGTACATGTTTTTAGTTTCGGTTACGATTTTTGTTCCATTACTGCCTGCCTGTCAATCAATTTAATTTTCTTTTAATTTTCTTTAGAAACTTTATTTGCTGCTTCTCTTATTGCTATTGTTATGTTCGTGTTTACATTGTTGTTGTTTTTATTGGAAATAGTTCCGCCAAAATCTCTCTAGAACCACTGAGCTAAACGCGATATGTTTTTTCTTTTAATATTTTTTACTGGTGGTCACTATTATGTTGGCGATAATAAATGAACAGCTTTCGCACTTAACAAACAAACAAATTAAAACGCTGCAGTCCCGCCGGCTATTAAATATACCTAAAATACCAGATTCATCATTTAGGTATAAAAAATTATGGATCCGTTGTTGGGCGTAAAGGTTTGGTTTCTATGCGAGTCCTCCTACAGGAAAGTAAACCCAAAACCAGGCTTATGTAATTTACACAGATGTGTTGTTCTTGTTCACAAGAATCTTTCTTTTTTTTTTTATAATAAGTGTTTGCACGGAGGGATATTCAAAGTGTCGTCCAAAAATAGGTATAATAAATTTCTGCGAATGTATACAACATGCAGAAACGCTTGACCATCATCCGAACCCTTTCGCAATCATTTTCTGAATCGATCTAATCTTGTCTGTCCATCTGACTATCTTGTATTTTTATGTTCAACATCACAGCTCGCAAATTTTTGGAAATGATGAAATTTGTTGCACTGAGATGTTTTAGCCCAAGGATAAACATTATAGAAGATGGTTTGAATCGGATCATTTTTACGACCAAGGGGGGCTCATACAAAAAAGAAAAAAATTTGTTATTTCCAAAATTTGTCGATAAAAATCACTGAGTTATCGTATTTCGGCTGGGTGCTAGTCAACCGAGGTAGAAAGCTTGGCATAGCTGTAACAAAGTGATGCTTAACGTTTTAGAGGACCCATGATAATTATCGATTTCCCCAAAGGTTTCGATTCAGTCGACCATAGTTTAGTGTTGCAAAAGCTTGAGTATTATTTTAGGTTTATTGTCGCTTTAATATGCTGGATTATGGCAACTTTACGATATTGCGTATCAACAACATATAGAGCAAGCTGTGGCTTTCTTCATCTCAATTTCCTAATGGTGCAAAATTGTGAATGCATATAGTAGCTCAGATCATGCGTGCAATAATAAGTGTGCGAGATATGTGTTTAGTAAACGCAAATATAAGAGAATATCGCAGTGTTCAAGCAAGATATTGGATTTTGACCCTCGCATATATTTTAACTTAACAAAATCTTATCCTACTTGACATCCTTATCTATCTATACGCGAACATCAAGACAATAATATGAAAAAATATTGTTTGCTAGATGATCTGAACGGATCAGATGAATTTGATTCTGCCTAACCATAAGTATTTGCCATCAGCAAGGCTGTTCTTTGTTAACGCTCTCAAGTTGTAGAATGCGTTGCCGCTCCTGATTCAAACAATTGTAAGCTTAAAGAGGTTTAGGGGGGGCTATAAATTGTGGTTTATTCATTATAATTGCGTCTCTACCTTTGCTTTTAATATTGATATTGTGCATTGTTATACGCTGTTACCTTGTGGAATCATTTTATTATTATTACTGCGCCGTAAGAGACTTGTAGTCTTATTGCTGCATTAGTATTATTTATAAAAAAAAAAAAAATAAAATTATAATATAGTTATTATTAATAAACTAAACTAAACTTAATTTATATAAGAACTTTGTTTTCAAGCTCTTTTCATATAACTTTTCCTACGAAAAGTACGGCTCGGTATGGCAAAAGGGCCTAATTTTAAATATTTTTTTATACAAAAATTTTGATCCATAATATATAAAAATTAAAACTGCATGAAATTCGGTTCACATAGACAAGACCTATTCGTTTAAATTTCGTCACATAAAAGAGACCTTATAAAAATGTCTGCCTTTAAAAAGGAAACAATGTACGCATGATTTCTAATATTTTAACGCGAGAATGAATGAGAAGAAATGTATTAAGCAAAGTGCATTAGTATATTTAATCAGCGGCCTTGCCTGATAAAAATATAATGTTTTTACATGTTTCTCGTTTGCACAATTCTTTACAACAAGTGCAGCCACATCGTGCAAAAATATGATATAAAATTCACATACGATGTTTAATCTATCAGTGCCGCCATTTACCGAAAAAATAATGGACTTCTTTTTCCCCAAACTAATATTTACAAACTATATACACAATAGATATATTATTAATGAATCGAACTATGCCATAAATTCCATTCACTTCTTCTGTACAAGGCTGGCGGTGATGAGTGTATTAATGCATTCAAAACTAATCGAATGGAGTTTCTCTCTTGATATTCGCTATCATTTTAGATGACCTTCTGCTTTCTATTTAGCTGTTAGCACCTGAACGATAGATAATAGGATAGAACTACGTCAAGTAAAAACTTCGCCTTACATACTCCGGAACGATAAAGCAAACGAGAAATTATATTCAACTCCTTTCTGTAGTTTGTCTACAATGTATATATATTTGATTGAAAAATTACCGATAAAAGTCATATACGATCTTTAACTCTTAACTGTATAAGTTTTTTTGATTTGGCCGGAAATTGTGTGTAAATCTATTTACCTATAAAGCAATGTTTATGTGAGACTCTTCTTAATTATGCACACGCTTTACGAACTTACCAGAGGAATTTTAATAAGAATGTATTTAAGGCTGCGTGTAAAACTTTGAATACTATATGTTTTAGACCTAAGCTGAAGATACGAAAATTCAAATGCAGTTGAAGACCACTTATAAAAAATTGCCGCAATCCTTTCTTGAAACGATTCTAGAGTGAAGCATATAACTGTTTGCATGAGAGAAAGAACGCAAAATAGGCAAATCGAATCGTTTTCGCTTCAAGATTTCACAAATTTGCACAAATAGATGAGATTAAGTAGATCGTGGTACTTGATATTTTAAAAATTTTGTTAAAGCATTCACCATAAAATGCGAACTTATGCGCCTTCGTTTTTTTAATCTCTTTCTTTTATTCACATATAACAAAAACAAATAGTACTACCAAACAGATAAAACATGACGCCGAATGGTGATGGGTGCTTTCAAAATCTATATTTTAACTGGACCCGATTCATTAGAAAAGGACTCTATGTAAAAGTTCGTTTCGACACGTCGCAAAATAAAAAAAATATATATATATATTAAGAAAATCAAACTTGAATGTTTTGTTTTTTTTTTTTTTTTTTTTTTTCTTTATCTATTTTTTGCATTTGTTATATACACCCATATTATATATGCATCAGATCAAGCATCCATCCTAAGGATAGCAGTTAACATAAAACGTAAACTTTTTATTATATGAGTCCGTTTTTTCTATTTTCCATTTAAACTGCAGTTGAAATTGTTATCGAAATTTAATGGAAACCGTCGCTTCTATGGGATACCTTAACAAATTGTAATCGATTTGAATGGTAACGAAAACGCAAAATATTCAAATAATTTTTATGCTTTTACGCAAAAGCATACACATTGTTGTTGCATGAATAATGACATAATCCATAAAAATTTTTATTAACATATGTTATGTGTGGAACATTAAATAGATGCATCGCAGTATACCCACACAAACAACCAAACAAAAAAAATAAATAAATAAATAAATAACTATTATATATGCGCTCGCTCGCATCTATATGACGTACATGAACATCAAAAAAAAAAAAAAAAAAAAAAAAAGGTGAAATAAATAAAATCTCAAGCCGTCAAAGTAAGAATGAGCACAAATGTCTGAGATTAAGCTAATGAGCAGACCAAACGACAGACGGACAGACAAAACAACTTGAATAGACATTTAAAAATCATCATAAATCAAGTGAGTAATGCATAAGTGAATAAATGAATGAATGAACGAATGAACGAATGAATGAATGAATGAATGAATGCATTATAAAATACATTCATACAGAAAGTCAGCAAATTGGTTGGTTCGCTGGTTGGGTCAAGAGCGTATTAAATGCAATAAATACGAAAGCGAAGAACTATTACGGCTGCTGCTGCTGCTGCTGCTGCTGCTGCTGCTAGCTGTGCTGTTGTTATCAATGGCAATTGCATGTAAAAACAACATACGTCATAGGAAATGTACATACGTTTACGTATTGAAATGCAAACATACATTCACCGTAACTTTACTATCGAAACGGGCTAAGCAAGTAGAAGTAGAACGTTTAATGCATGGTCACACACACTCGCCCAAACTTGCTCCTATGCATTCTTCATATATGTGGAATTGAAATTGAAATAAGCGAGTCGAGAGTTAAATAAATAATCGGAGATTTCATATGGTGCTGAGATTTATGTAAGCTTTTTATAGGCACACATGCTTTACTTACTTACAAATATATCGTTAGTGGTTGAACAGCGTGTGTGGTTAGTTTTTAATTAATTTGAAATTTTTCTCAAATTTCTGAATTTTTTTTTTTTTTTTTGCAATCGAAGAAGAGAAAAAGTATAGAAATTTGTGATTATGTGACTTACCAGAAAGAAGCAGTGTTCGAAACATATTTTAAAATCCCTTACCTGAAAAGCAGAAAATAGAAGTAGAAATAAAATATGTAGAAAAATATGAAACATATTAGTAAAGAAAGATTGATTTTACATGGAATCAAACTCTATCTATTGCAACATTATTAGCGCTTGTGATAATGATGAATTTCTTGGCAAATATTCTACAGCTATTCATGTCATAAGCAAAAAGTTGATGTTTTCAAGGGTTTTTCTTTCCACTGTTCTATCATTTACCATGAATTGCTTGCATACATTTCTTAAATAGAGTCGTTTATGTATATACATACATATATACATGTATGTATTATTTATATGGAAATGTGTGTATGTATGTATGTATGTGTATGTATGCGTATGTGTGTGTGTGTGTGTGTGTGCATATTGCCTTCACTGTGTTGACTTCGACCTGATATTTGTCACACAAAACCATGACCATAATCATCAAATGCAGAATTACTGGGAGTAGCTGCAATAGTATGCCCAATGCTCAGTATAATTGCAAGCATTAACCGGATCGTCATCGTCCATAACAACAATAGCAAGCCATTTCAATTGTTCCTCCCACACCGCAATCTAGTAACAATGGTTTGGCAAATCTGCGTAAATTGTATTTCGAAAAAGTAGTTTTTCTTTTCTCCTTTTCTTTTAAATACATGTTCTATTATTTTTTCTGCCTTCTCTAATGTACGCATCAGCATACTACAGTATACCATAGTTAGCGTTGCATTCGAAAGCCCCCAAGAAAAACAAATAGCATATATGCCACGTAGAGCCCTCAATTGATTTATCGAACCTTATCTAAAAACCATAAATTATCTCAAATTTTTAAATACTCATAGTAGGTAATAAGCCCAACCGGGTCTTATGCCTCGCTACGTGGCACCGAGGCGATTAGCTTCAATATATCAGTCAAAGATATTTTCTACGTCTTCATCCGCGTTGAGCGGTTGAAGCTTACCTGCATTTCAACGAATTAGATGTCCAGTTGGAACGAAATAGTCCTGTAATTAATTGAACCTGAGCCACGGTTTTTGCGAAACTTTACGATCTTTTGAAATGTACGAACGAAACTGAAAAATTACTTCTCAAGTCTCTTAACGTCTGGGGAAATCGATCCAAGCGCTTCATAAAAAGAGAAGCTATAATATTTTCAATTTACTGAAACTTCAGACCAAAATTCGTGTTTACTCAGACGCGACACGCTTGCGCAACATCTTTTGAAATATACCCATCGAAGTGGAACGAAAATTAAAACAAAGATTATCTTACAGATGAATCAAGTTTTTCAATTTCCTTAATTTTTACTCACAAATCAGACATATCTGCAATCAGTTCAAAACGACCTTTTTGGCAAACTGTGTGGATTTAAATTGATTTCAAAGCTATATAGCCGAATAATAGCCGTTTTCAAGTCCAGTAACTCCACTACGGAGTTCTTAACGTACGTAAAGAAGAAGAACGATTCGTTTGTGACGCCAATCTGCCGGATCGGCTCACCATTAGTACAAAATCGAATTGGATCACTATTAGTATAAAATATCGAATGTAAGCACCGACTGTTCCATGCTTTCCCTAAAGACCACACTCACTGAAGCAGAATGATGAGTAATGAGATTTCGGGAGGCATGTCTTCTAAGAAATTTGATATACTAAATCGCGTAAAAAAAACCGCATTGAGGGGTAAAACAAAATCGACATATATAGATGGGTTGCTTATAAACTTTTTTACAAACATCTATTTAAAAGAGTCTTTCGGAAAATTTTTTATTAAATTGTAATAATATCTGCAAATATATAAAACATTGACAGGTTGATGTAAACATTTTTTGCTTTTCTTCAATTTTGTGCAAAAAAAGATGACAATTTGCACTTAAAAATGAATACCGAAGAAGGCGGTCGAAAGACTTTTTCTCACAGAGTGTTGGCAATAACACAATTGGATGTCTCAGCTCGCTTACTCTCTAACCCGCCCCGCAGTAAGTAATAAACTTTAGTTATGAAAGCATATTTCTCCATTATTGTTTGTCATGGAAACGTGTGAATAGCCATTCAGAAGAAAAATTTTTGCTTTTCTTCTTTTTTTTTTTCTATTTCGCAGACAATTAACGTTAACAATACCAACTTCAATAATATATAGGGTGTGAGGAAAAGGAAAGCATATAATCCAATCGATATATGCTTGTCGTTTAATGCGGTCATTGAAGTTAGCTTCTCTAAATCACGCCATCATCACGCCAGGTCATGCCGGTGATTGTACTCTTTTCAATTATCATAACACCGTCAATGCTTTTAAGTCGAACGATAAGAGATAAGGATAGCTTGTTATTTAGCAGTCAGTTAGATTGCTGCAGCATACCTAATATATTCATTCAAATCTTTGAAACACCCTGTATTCAGTTGGATGCGTTTTGCCATCCAACATGTGGTGTCTCAGGGTTTATGTAAAAAACTCAATCAATTTGTGATTGGTTTTCAGTATAATTATCGCTTCGAAAAATCAGAAGTAATAGTTCAGCTATTTTAAGTCACACTTTCAAGAATGTTTGCTTTAAGCGCCAGAATCGTTGAAAGAAAAGGAACGAACGGCCCTGCTCGAGTATAATGCCTTAACTTGTTTATTTACAATGCCCAGTTGACACTATATCTATGTATACCCTATACCACTATTGTTATACAAAGATATTTTTATTGTGCACAAAACGGCCGGAAGAAAAGGGCTTGAGATAGAGCCACTTTTTCTGATACCGATCTATTGACAATCACTTTCTCAATCTAAGTTATTTTTGATAAATTTAATACACTGACGTGTTCTGGCTCAAGGACGAATATTGAAAATGTTTTGAATCGGACTAAATAATGCCGCATTTTGAAAAGCCGTTATATGAGTAGCCGCAGCGTGGTATTTTTACATGGCTATATATGACAAAAAATATCATTGATATTTCCATCAAGGCGTAAACGTACGTACAAAAGTCCAAGTTTTCTAATGCATTTTCTAATAACTGTAGCTCCTCAGCTTTACGACGATTATTGATTTTTATGTAGTGAACTACTATTCATTGATTAAGCATTCGCGTACACGTTACTTTTTAAACAATCCGTGTTACATAGAAAAAGTTGTACCAAAATGAAATTCGTAGAATCTGTGGAATAAAGATTCAAAAGCGTAAAGAAATGTATGACTTTAGTTATTCGCAGCGAATAAAGTTATAACGACTATAAGAAAATATTTGACGTGTTGATCCAGCTGACTTCTGAATTTCATAAAATGACTCGTTCACCGAATTGGAATAATGATAATAAGTTCATAAGCTTCAGTCTGAGGGAAATCGAAAGCCGCTTACATTCAATTTACCTCATTTGGGCCACGCAATCACTTTGAAAAAAAGATGAATTCAACAATGCCACCAGTTGCTCATGACCAGCATGACAGTTGTCCGTCCTTTGCACAATTGCGAAAATCATATTTATTAACGTATCGTAGTGAATAGAAATATATATATAAGCTTCACCAGAAAGGGTGCTTTTCAAAGGAAAAGGAAAAAATGTATTTTTTTACAGGTCACGTGATTTCGTAATTGGTTTGGTAACCCGAATTGCGTTATTATGCACTAAACGAATCCAAGATTGTAAAAGGCAACATTTTGGCATTTAAATATATATTCAAAACAAGTTGGAGCTGCCATCAACTCTTTTAAGCTACTTGCTAAACTAATTGTGGGAAGTGGAAAATTTTAATGCTATAATGCGAGAATTTTTGTAAATCTTCTCGCATATAATCGTTCTTCCTTGTGGCAAAAAAAAAAAAAAAAATCTTTTATCCGATCGTATTATATAATTTTTTGTATATTATATTAAAAATTGATCGGAATTTGTGATTTGCAATACAAATCCATTATGATAGGTTTAGTGTTATATATATAGGTCGAATTTTGGATCCCTTCCTAATGGCGAACAGAGTTTGCATGTAGCCATGATATAATAATAAGGGGAAAAATGTAAAGCAACTAAGTGTAGTTAGTAAATTTGCAATAAATTACGTTTTCACATTTTCGACGATTTTTAACGTATTGCAAATTAGTACAGACGAGGATGCCGGCCACGCTCAAATAATCAACTTTTTCTATATCTCCCCCTTTTCTGTTCTTTTCTTCTGATCACTCGTGTGCCAACGCTATCGCTTTACCTATATCAATATAGATTAGAAATTAAACGTAGAATTGTACTTGTATAAAACAACAAAATAAAGTAAATTACATACAATTAGGATCTTTTATTAAAATCCTATCCAATTTTATTCAGTCATAAAGATCAGAACTTTTATTAGATTAGATGTTGAATTGCGATTGTAAGAAACTAAGTCATGATGGTAGAGTACGTAATGGTGGTCTGCCTTACCGCACTTATCGATCTCAACTTTTATGTATAAGCTATAAAATACATCAAAGTAACTGTAAAAAAAAAAAAAAAAAAAAAAAAAGGAATTGAAAAAATAAAAAGAAAGATAAAGAGAAAAGACAAGGGAGAAAAATTACCATCACATACATGTCAATAACAATTAATTAATTTATATTGAGTTTTTAGATTATTGCCAAAGAGATGTAAATTTAAATAAAATTGAACATTTTTTTTTTTTTTTTTTTGAAATTTTCATTAAATTTTACACAAACAGCATAAGGTTTTAGCAAATATCCTGGCTCTAGATGAAACAAAGATTCCAGTAACAACATACATTTAAAGGACATAATCCACTTAAAGTTGTTAACCACAATGCAATAGCATGTTAAAATGTAATTTCATTGCTATCACGAAAAGGCGGACAGACACAGACACAGACATAGACACACAGAGAAAATATCTAATCAATAATTTAAATACTTAAATGATTGCGGTGGGACAAATGCTAACTGAGAGGATAAATCTAATATCTCTGCACTAATACACAAGCATAAAGAAAAAAAAAAAAAAAAAAAAAAAAAAAAAAAAAAAAATGCAAAGCAAAGACGCAATGA